GAAGGGCCACTCTCAGATGCCGCCTTTGAAGTTTTTCAGCACGCGCGCCATGTTTTAGGAGGACACAAACATATGATTTGTGAGGTTATGCAATTGTTTACATTTGTGTTTAATTATATTATATTTATGTTACTATATTTAAAACTGTTAATATAATTGTATAGTATGTCTCACACCACATAAACAACATTGGTTCCTTTTAAAATCCTCGTAAAACATGGCGGAACGTCTGCGCGAAGGATATGCGCGTACTTAATTTTCCGTGGAGAGTAGGCATTCTGTTTGTTTATTATTCTGTGATAATACTATATATAGTACGGGTATTATTCCGAAATCAACATTTATTACATTACCAAAAAAACCTAATACAAGGGAATGTAATGACCACCGTATAATTAGTCTAATAAGTCACACACTAAAAATATTCTTAAAAATTATCCATTTAAGAATTTTCAGAAAAGTGGAACAAGACATCACTAAAACCCAATTTGGATTTAAAAATGCCATGGGTACACGAGAGGCATTATTTGGATTTAACGTCCTCATGCAAAGATGTATGGATGTAAACTAACCACTCTATGTTTGTTTTATTGATTACAATAAGGCGTTCGATAAAGTCCGACACAACCGTTAAAGATACTTAAAGATAAACCAATTACTTAAAGATAAACACATTGAGAAAAAAGAGTTAAGAATAATAACTCATCTCTATTTTAACCAAATAGCATAAGTCAGAGTCGGCAAAGAACTTTTAGAGGAAGGAGAGATAAAAAGAGGCGTAAGGCAAGGTTGCATACTCTCCCCCTTATTGTTCAATCTATATTTGGAAGAAATAATTAAAAAATCACTCGAAAATGTAACAATTGGAATAAAAGTCAACGACAGACCCATCAACAATATCAGATATGCCGATGATACTATACTAATTGCAGAGAATATACAAGATCTACAGACACTTTTAGATAATTTAGGAAATGCTAGTAAGGAAAGTGGACTAAAGCTTAATGCTAATAAAACAAAATTTATGACAAATTCCAAAACACAACAACATGACATTTTAAACATAAGAGGAGTTCCAATAGAAAAAGTAAAAAAATACAGATATCTTGGTACAATTATTAATGAAAATAACGAGTATACAAAAGAAATAAAAATGAGAATTGGACAAGCTAGAGCAACATTTAATAAGGTGGGGAAAGTATTACGCAGTAGAGACCTCAGTTTCCAACTCAAAATAAGAATATTACGTTCTTATGTGTTTTCGGTGCTGCTGTATGGGGTGGAGGCCTGGACCTTAAAGAAAGAGGTGAACGATCGACTTGAAGCATTCGAGATGTGGACCTACCGAAGAATATTAAAAATAAGTTGGGTAGACCGAATAACAAATGTTGAGATCCTCAGAAAGATGACAAAGAAAATGGAAATCATGAATACGATTAAGATAAGAAAGTTAAAGTATCTCGTCAACGTTATGAGAGGGGATAAATATGTGTTGCTACAAACCATAATGCAGGGAAAAACAGGCAAAACGAAGTATTGGAAGAAGACGTATCTCCTGGCTCAACAATCTATGAAAGTGGTATAATTGCAGTTCCGTTGACTTGTTCAGAGCTGCAATATCAAAAGTGAAAATAGCTGTGATGATTACCAACCTCCTTAGAGGAGATGGTACCTAAAGAAGAAGAAGAAGAAGAAGACATTTAAACAAAAACTGATTTTGCTCAAAAGCTTCTCATCTCTTGTTATTTATTTTTCATTTGTATTTCAAGAAATATATTTTAATACTGGTTTTTAAAATCTTAATATGTTTTAGTTAAAAATGTTATACTCATACGTATATTAATATCCTATTTTTTTTTTTAGTATAGAAGTCAAAGAAATATTGATCTCAAAAAACACCAGCATTTCTCATCTCTACGTTTATTCAAGCGGTATGCTTACAAAATAACGACTTGTTGCGATCCTGGCAATTTGCCGATCACACCTTGTAGAGCCCCCCTTTCCTGTCCTCAATACAAATCTTTATGACGCTACTCCCGTCATCAGTTTTCTGACGCTATTCCAAAATTTCAACGCATATCTTTCATTGGTAACTCAATAGCAACATATTTTTCAAATTCTCGAGGCAGTGTAAAAATTCTTGAAAGATGTATATTTGAATATGCCGGCTGTACTAAAATTTATTATAATATTGTTCGAAATGACTTACATCGATTTACTGTGTATTTTGATTTGTATATTGTAACTAATTTTGATATGAAAATCGCAACAATCAAAAATCCCCATCTATCTCCCATCTATTCCTTATTTTTAAATCACCCATTATTATAGTAATTTCTTGCTTTCTTGTATATTGTATAAGCTGTTAAGTTGTTCATAAAAATGTTCAATTTCACTACTACCACTACTACTACTACGGATTTCCACAGTTTTTACTGTCTTCCTTCACTCAACCGTTTTCTCCAATTTTCGCTGTCATTCCAGTCTCCATCTCGTCTTTTTTTCTCCATAGCCTCGTCGATTTCGTTTCTGAATGACCTTCCGGGTCTTCCTCTCTTTCTTCTTCCGATCGGGCTCCATTCTGTGATTTTGTTTATCCAGCGTCCTCTGTCCGCTCTTCTGACTTGGCCGTACCAGGATAGTCTCTTCTCCTCTATATAGTCGATTATGTCTGATTGCACTCCCATTCTCCGCTTAATCTCTGCGTTTTCAATTTTGTCTCTTTTTGTAAGTCTACAGCTTCTCCTCAGGAACTCCATTTCTACTGCTCTTATTCTACCTCTATTTCTCTTGTTTATTGTCCAGTTTTTGGACCCATATGTCAGGATACTTCTTGTCAGGGTATTATATATTTTCTTTTTTGTCTTTATCGTAATGTTCTTATCCCACAGAACTGAATTTAGTTGTCTTATACAATTTCTTGTTTGTCTTAGTTTGTTGTTTATTTTTTCTTTTGCTGTTCCTGGGTTCGATATTATGGTTCCTAAATACTTGAATTTATCTGTTCCATTTACTTGTCTTCCCTCGTCTATCTCTAGGTTTCTCATATCCTTGTTTTCTGTTGTTAGGAATTCGGTTTTCTTTAAGTTTATTTCCATTCCGTTGTTTTTATATTCTTCTTCTAGTTTTCTGAGCATAAAGCTTCTACGTCTTCTTCATCTTGTGGGATGACTACTTGATCGTCGGCAAAACTTAAGGTGTACAGGTATTCGTCTTTTACTGGTATACCCATTCCTTCGCACTTTCTCCTCCATGCTTTGAGTGTCTTTTCCAAGAATATTTTAAACAGAGTAGGGGACGTAGCACAGCCTTGTACAAGTCCTTTTGTCGTCTTAAATGGATTGTAGGCTTTATTTCCACATTTAATAGCTACTTTGTTTTCTTTGTACAGTACTTTAACTGCTTTTATTAGTGTTTGTCGGATTTCGAGATTATTCATTGCTTCCCATAATGTGACTCTAGGTTTTGAGTCGTATGCTTTCTTTAGATCAACAAACGCCAGATGGACCGGTCTACCTTTTGCCATTTTCTTCTCTATCAGTTGTTCTAATGTGTACGTATGATCTAGGAATGATTTTCCTACTGTGAACCCTGCTTGGTCTTCTCCAATTTTTCCTATTATTTCAGTTTCTAGTTTTTCCTTGATAATTTTCCCGTAAAGTCTACCTACCGACGATATTATGCTAATTCCTCTGTAGTTTTCACATTTTTTTCTGTTTCCTTTCTTATGTATGGATGTGATGTATGCTTGTGTCCATTCCGCAGGTATTTCTTCTCCATTTAGTCCTCTTTCGAACATTCTGTGTAGCATGCGGAATAACTTTTCCGTTCCGTTTTTAATTAGTTCGTTTGGTATCCCTCCGGGTCCTTTGGCTTTTTTGTTCTTCAATGTCTTGATTGCTCTCTTGACTTCTGTCAGACTTATTTTTATCTGGTTGTATGTCCCATTTCCTGCATGTTCTGTATTCTCTTCCTGAAATTGGGGACGGTTTTCTGTAAGTAGTTCTACGTAGTATTCTTGCCACTCGTTTTCACTAACTTTGCCGATTTGGTTTTTCTCTGTCTAATTTCGTTGGAGTGCTTTTAATATTCGCCATGATTCTGAATTTCTCGTTCCTCCGATATGTCGTTCTATCTCTGTGCATGCTTGTTCCCATAGTTCGTTCTTTTCATTTGTTACTCTTTTCTTTACCTCTCTGTTTTTCGCTCTATATAGGTCTAAGTCTTCCCGTGTTTTGGTGTTTAGGTATTTTATGTGTATTTTTTTCTTTTCTTTTATACATTTCAATGTGTCTTCCCTTAATTTGATATTCTGATGGGTGTTCCTTTGGTCGTTATCTCCAAGAGCTTCTAAGGCCGCTGAAATCAGGCAGGTTTTTATGTGTTCATGCATTTCATCTAACGTGTCATATCTGAATTCTTCTAGTTTTTAGTCTAGTCTTCTTTTGTATAATCTTTTATTGATTCTTCCTGTAATAGATGTAATTTGAGCCTCTTTTCGTTTATTGTCGTTCCCGTTGTAACAATCGATGTATGTTTTTGTTTTGTCCAGATATAGGGGAATTCCATCCATGCCACCACAAGTTTCTGATCTGTTCCACACTCTGCCCCTCTTGTCACTCTGGCTTTCAGCTTCTGATTTATCTGCAGTTGGAGCATACACTTGTATCAATCCGAAAAGGGAACAAAATTTACAACAACTGCTTGGATAAGATAATTATTCCAACTCCATATAGATGATTTTGGGTGTCATTTCCGGAGTAGTATATGGTTAAAACCAAATTATGTTCCTTTAATATTTTCTTTCTTTTGCATTAGCTTTGGTGTGAGGAGGCAAGGAATAAGAGTTAATAAAAGTTCATTAATCGATAATCTGTGCATCTCCTTGTTTTCTGTCTCTAACAGATGGCGACGTTAGTCTTGGCCAATACGTAGAGTTTTTTACCCTCGGTTTTATATTATCCTGAAATATTTCGATCAATGTAAACCTCTTTTTGCAGGTCAAAGTCCTGAACACAACGTCAGCACTGCCGAATCAATGAGTGACATGCAATCAACAGAAAATAGTTCAGAATGTCCAGATGAACTTTACAATTTGACCAAACTAGCAGAAGTTGCTGTTGCTACCGGCCAAATACTGGAACAAAGAAGACTTAATTCCTCACCTGGTACTGAAGAGGAGCCGCCGTCCTATATATACACCCACAAATTATTTGACAAATCGTCTCGAATACCAAGACCACACCTAACTAAGGTGAGTATTGAAAATCTTAAAGTAAGCATTTTTTTGAATTTAAATGTTAATCCCATTTATTTCGATATTACAAAAAAATATACAGGTTTAAAAAATATTCTAAAACAAACGTGTGTTTTGTATCTATTATTATCAAATAATTATTTTTAGACTGATGAAGATTCCAAACCCACTATATTCGATCTTTCTTCCAAACCTCAACAATCCATTTCACCTTCGCCACCAGAACCGTCAAACTCAGAGTCTCCACAAAACATTCTGGTGTCATCTACTTCTACATCGTCTGAACATCATGAACATGAATGTTCTGAGTGCGGCAAACGCTACAGCACCTCCAGCAATTTGGCCAGACATCGTCAAACACATCGAAGTCCAGCCGACAAAAAGGCAAGACGATGTCCGCATTGTGATAAGATCTACGTCAGTATGCCAGCTTTTTCGATGCACGTAAGAACGCATAACCAAGGTTGCAAATGTCAATATTGCGGCAAGTGTTTCTCGAGACCTTGGTTGCTCCAAGGCCATATTCGAACACATACAGGTAATTTAAAAAGGTTTTTTTAAGTTTTCGTTTGATGATATTATTTGCTTCCATTCTTGTAGGATAGGAGCTATCTTGAGGATAAGACAGACTAATTTTACCTTAACAAACTAGTATCACAAAATATCTATTAAAAATACTGTATTGTTTTCAAATGTACTTTGGCTTCCAGGCGAGAAACCATTTAAGTGTACCATCTGCAACAAAGCATTCGCGGACAAATCAAATCTGAGAGCCCACATCCAAACCCATTCCAATACGAAACCGCATATTTGCGGTAGATGCGGCAAAGCCTTCGCTCTTAAGTCATATTTGTACAAGCATGAAGAATCATCTTGCATGAGAATGAATGGAGGTAGACATAATTCCAGGGAAGCAACTCCAGACAAAATGATGTCTACATCTTCGCCAACGCCGGTGATTGTATCTTTGTCTCAGAGGATTTCGGACTCGGTTATCAAAGGACCCGATGTAATAAGGACTCCTATGCTATACAGGTAAGATATACTCATCAAATTATTTACAAAATTTTTGATCATTACACTTTGTGGGCCCCTCTTGTACGTTTTTTGGGGTTTGTTAATATTTTTTGTGGCGTGCGCCTTTTGTTAATGTTTTATTATTTTTTTTTGGTAGCCGAAACCGTTTTTTGTCTTTTTTGTAGATTTTTTTTGAGGTATAAAAGATATAAAATGAAAATTATTAAATACATTGCTAAGATAAAGGTGACTGCGTTGTCTTCTTTTGATAGAACTACGATTATCTAGACTTTTTTATATGTTTGCTATTGTTTGCTGTTTGGGTATTCTGTTCTTTCATTTATGGTACACATTATAACAGGATTCGATTAGTTGGTCTTTTAATGCAGCGAATTGTGTTCTGGCTTTTTCCTCCATCATATCCAGTATCATTCAGTGATGGTCCAGGGTACATTTGCAGCTTCTCTAAGGCACTTGTGTGCTGTTTGATCTGAATCTTCTTTTTGCAGATTTGACTTGTGTGTCTTTACGCAAGAAATACATATGTATTTATTCCTAAAAGCAAAGATTGTTCAGAAATATACAAATTTCAGAAGCTAATGAACAAGATTCTGTTTCTGTTTTTTCTGTTGTTTCGTCTTCACAATATGATTGATTAAGAAAAAGTTATTTAAATTTTTTAACAATTCTGTATCTTGCAATATTTTGGTTCATCATTTAAAACTTAATATTTTTTAGGTCTACAGTAATATCACCTAATCCAGAGAGAATTCTTTACTCAACCATCAAACATCCCTCAGTGATATTAAACGCTACAAGATATGGAGCAAATATGGGACTGCAAGACCAGCCGATGGACTTTTCTTCGTCATCTAATAAAGACAGATCCTTTGGTTCAAACGGAGATAGAGGAGGTTACGCCTTAGGCCTAGCCATTGCTGTTTGAACCACAACAGATCACAAAATTCCTTTCTTTTTGTGGGACCACAAAAATTCCAAATGGTTTAAATTAAATTCTTATAAAATTGACCAATGTCAGTATATGTATTATTGTTTGAATTTAAATAGTGTTTGCGTTATTTGAAATAAATTGTTTATTAGATGAGTGTATTTGGTAATGAATAGGAGACGTATATAAAATTGTGATTTTTTAGGTTTTTAAAAATATTTTTAATGGTAGAAAAAATTCAAAGTAGCACAATGCTACTCACGTTTTTATACAAATAAATGTAAACTCTAAATTAGCTAGTGAAGATAATATACAAATTACGTTTGAACCAAATAAAAAAGGATTGATGTAAACGTTGAACAAAAATATTTGAAAGTTGATTGGTACTACGTAGGCCAAATTTAAAATTACAGATTAAAAAAAGATATCCATAGCTTTTAAAATAATTTATTAGTTGTAAGTATATGGATTAGTATATTTTTAAAATGTTTAGTCGAATGACTTTTTTTTACTGTTTTTCATTTCCTGCTGTTTTTTCAATAGAAATGTTATTAATTATCATCCCATTTTTTTTCTTATATTTCCTTTACCTATCGGAAGTTGGTCATCTTTACAGCTATTCTTAGATCTTAGCCAGATAGGTGGTGACCCGTGCGGTATGGCATCGTGCATTATCGTACAATAAAATAACGATATCACCAATAAATCCCGCGTACGGAACCACATGTTGTTATAAAATGTGTCTGATGTAACGATCCCCCCCTTAAAACTCATCCACGTCCTCTGTCAGGTACGAAAACAAACTCGTTTTTCCCATCCATAGACACGCGAAAAATACCGCCTTCATATGACACAATTTTTCGTATACAACATTGAGCAAATCGCTCTCCTGACCTTCTTTAGACTCGACGCCTCTTGTCGTTGCCATGTAGGCAGATCCTTCTTTTGATAGTTTGATCATTGATAATCGTTTCAATCCAGATATTCGCGAGCAAATTCTAATCGCATTTGCTCCTGGGCTGCAGTTAGCTTGACCCGTAGCTGCCCTTTTTGGTTTCAGGTTGGCTGCCTTTAGTCTCCTTCTGACTTTCCAAACGCTAGTAACCACAACGCGGACCACTCTAAGTTTTTTCTTTGATAATAGCACCAGGCAAACGTCGATTTCTAAGGAATTTGTATACAAGAAATAAATCATGTCTCTCCGTTATTATTCAGTTACAGCCTCCTCCTTGTCGGTGGACATAATGACCAGTAATTTGGTAACGACTATACATTCGGAATAAGCAGATTGGCTTAATTTAGTCGATTTGCCACGGCTCTCTGGATTAGGTCTTCACATAAGTTCAATATACACGTTTTAGATTAAAATGGGAGACGTACTTTCGCAAAATAATTTTAAGTCGATTATTTTGCACTCACTTATAGATTTTTTAATAAAAATGGTGTATCAGAGACCGATTAAAGCCAACAGGGTAGATGAGTTTCATGTACAGAGCTAATCTCTTGATATGAACTACCTTGGGATAACAATATCCAGACATAACGAGTTATGCTCGAAAATATGTTCAAGAGACGCTTATGATTGAAAATTCTTTTTATTTACCGAATAAATAGGGGGAGTAAGATGTAATTGACCAAAACAAATTTAGTCAATTTTTAGGCCTACAGACATACAGACATACAAAGGTTTATTAAACAGTAAATGGGTTGATTTTATTGCATTTTTAACTGTTTTTTATTCCAACTTGTGAAATTGTAAAAATATATTTTTTATTGTTGTTATTAAACTTTCATTTCTACATAGAAATATCAATTTACTTTTACAATTTTACATCAATTTTTATTACTTTTTATTTTGTCGATTACAAATTTTTGGCGTTCACAACTTCCGTACTTATTTAAAAAAAATCGTACTATCATTTATCTTTAAGATATGTTTAATAATTAATAATATCTATATGCAAAAATGTTTAGAGAACTTTCCTAACTAAATTAATGTTCATTTAATTTAATTTATCAATGATCTTCTGAAATATGTATACAACAGTATACAAAATACTCTTGCAAAACTATTAAAAGACATTTATTACTGGGAGGGGGGCTATATTCATGCTACTAGTCAAAAGGAATAGGTATATAACATTTTTCATATAAAAATGCTTGCACGTCATTCAAGATTTACGATGTCACAACCACACAGCGTTGCCAAAACACCAGAATAGTTAGTGAGTGAGGAATTTTTAAAATGTCAACTATTTGTCAAACTATTGTACTAACAGTAAATACACTTAGTTTTAAGACTACTGCAACACACTAAAATACATAAGAAAACATTTTAATACAAAATTATATATTAAAAACTTTAAACTTACCTCTCTTAGGGCTTAGAGGTAAAATAGTAAAAACGTCCCGCCATTATTTCTTGTTCAAAATAATCTATTTTATATGAAACCTTATCAGTTTTCTACAAACTATTTAGTTGTTTTGGCATAGCATAATCGCAATACACAACAATAATTAGTTTTTAAAGCTATTAATCTAAATGTAATATTTATTAATAAATACAATTTATTAATATATATATATATATATATATATATATATATATATATATATATATATATATATATATATATATATATATATATATATATATATGTATTATGGTCAAATTGTGTAAGAAATCAAAACATAAACAAAATTCTTACTCTAAAAAAGCGGCAACAATTCAAACAATTTTGCCACACGCTGAAATGTCAATAAAATTTGAAGTATTCAGTTCCGTATCAGTTGCGTACAATTGTCTAATCTATTTAATTAAAATTATTATTTTGTGGAATATAAGACTTAATGAGATATTTCATAAAATTTATATAACTAATAATAACAAATATAATTCTAAAATTCCCAATATAATGATGATTACATTTTTCTGATTATTACACCATGTTGACGCCTATAAAAGATCGAGCAGTTCTGTATGGGTTTCGTATTATTAGCTGTGTTGGGAAAATTTGAACTCTAAGGTTGACGTTCTCGATAAGTGACGTCACTTTATATAAATTGTGACGTGCAACGTTTTTACTTTGAAAAATGGTATATCTAATTTTAGTTTACATACAATAATTAAATGTTTTCAATTAGTTATTTTAAATTATAGACTTAAGACATTCACTCTTTAATTTCAGTGCTGAATGAGATGTTTTAAACATTTTAAAACAAGAATGAGTACTTATGCACTGTGTTCTTTGTCTATATTACGTCCAATAGCTATATAGATTGTGAATAGTTGTATTTATATTTGTGACCAATATCTTGTTTATCAATATGTATTTAAAGCAAGTGCAATTTGCCGGATGTGCCTTAACAATACTCATATCTGTGAATTATGTGTGCCAATATAGCAATAAGTCTATTATAATAAGTGTATATATTTTAAGCTGTACTTGAAGGTGCTATATATATTTTTGTTTTGATTTCTGCAATGTCCAATGTGGCAGCTAATATTTAATAATTTGGTAAAATGTAATCTAAGGTCTGTATATTTTCATTGTGTATGCTTCATGGTTATCTCATTAATTAAGACTGAAACTGGTGCAACGAAATTTCTTTTAACAAAATAATTTTCTATAGTTTATCGTTAGGTTAGACTTATGATAGTTTCTTTATTTATTATATACAACATATATACCAAAGTTTGATTTAAACCTAGATATTTATTTGGACCCTAATAGAGTCTTAAAATATCGAACCGTTTTTTAATATTGTTCTGATAAAATCTGAACAAGAATCTGTTGTTAGCAGCAATCTAATTGTTACAGATCAGAACCTACTTGCTAGTTATCATCTTTATTAAATATTTTTTATTTATTGTTCCACTCATGTACAGTGTGACCACTTAGATTGGAAACACATTTTTATAAAAAAAATTTAAAGTCGTTAACTGATTTTAAGCATTTTTTAAAATAAAATGAGCCATTAATAATATCCTGGGAAAATAGTTTTTAAAATGTTTATTCAAAATTTCGAGGCCAAAATATGGACACTTTCTCTTAATTGAAAATGAAGAATTTTTATTATCGATTTTTTCAATTGGCTTCATATCGATATGACAAAAGCTCATGGAAGGTATTCAATAATTACTGACAGTTGGATACTTCAAATTTTATAAACAGCATTACTGCAAGTAAAAAGAATTCTTTTCGTCTTCTTCATGTACCATGTCCTTCCGAACGTTGGGTTTAACATCATAGCTATTTTAATTTCTTCACTTGCCTACCCTAATAGCATGCTTGTACCTGACACCAATACAACTCTGCAAGTTCTTCAACTAAGTTCTTCTTGTCCTGGACTGCGTTTGCTGCCTATAGTTTCTATGCATGATATTTTGTCGCAATATATATTTGGACTTTCATTAATGTCCGAAATTTTCCAGCTTTATCTGCTTGATGCTGTTTTTAGGTTCAGTAGTCTTGCCTGGACGTTCACGTATTGTGGAAGTTCACGAATCTTTCTCCACCAGAGGAAACTTTTAAAATTCTTCTTATAGCACCACATTTCGAAGCCTCAAGTCGATTTAGATCGATTATTATTCAACAGTTAGGACGACTGCATAAGTAAGAACGGAGAAACGAAGCAGGGAAGTAGGCGGATCCTTAATGAATTTAGGTCTCTGTTACATAACACCATGGACATCACTTCTAAGAGCTTTAGCATGCTCCTATTCGTGGATCTAATATCGCCGTGATTTTCTGCATTACAATTTAATTGCTGATCAGGTAGACGATTTTATCAATCTTTGCTACATGTTTGGTCTTATTATTTAACATATATAGCGGTTTTAATATTCTGTTGTTTACTTATTACAAGTTATTTTAGGTTTTTTCCTTATGTTAAGAATCCAGACCTGGCTCCCTAAAACTCTAAACGAACTATCAAGTAGTGTTTGCATGATGTTCTTGACTAGAAGATAGGAGAACTGTATTCGTCTCGCATATGCAATTATGATGACCTTCGCAGTCACAAGTATCTTATCTTGTTTTTCAGATAGTGCTTTTCTGCAAAATTCTTTAGGGAGGGTAACGTTTAAATAGCAGGGGTGACAGAGGCATCCCTGCCGTACTATATTTTAATATTGAGAGCTTGTGATTCC